TGTAGAATACGATGGCCCCTCGACTACGCCTACTTGAGTGGTGAAAGAAAGGGCCACGGGCCTTGCGCCACGGGCTGGGCAACCTCTCCAAACCTAAGCTCCGAACATCCAGCGCTAGAAAAACCCCCAAATGAACCCAAAAGGATCCAAGATGATGTTCACACCCTCTCCCCTCCCAAGGGGTATATACCCCTTATGAAGTGAGTTGGAAACCAGGGAAGCCAAGGGGTATGAACAAGGGGTATGTACTTCCATCCTAAGAAAGAAAGCAGGTATGGCAGCTATGAGAAGCCCGCCGGACTGCAAGTTATTGACTAGGTCCTCCAGTAGAGAGGTTAGAATAAGGGTATCCTTTTTTCTGTAGTCTATTTGAGTAGGGGAACCCTCCCCCAAAAAAGGGGAGAGAAGGGCACTACTGGGGGACCTAGTTGAGCTGCTGCACATGTCCTATCAGTCCAAAGGATAAGCTGAATGGTAACATTGCGACAAGCATTCTCCCAAACCCACTCCAGGCGCTGTAAAAGACAGATGCCGAGCTAATTTTAGGCAGGCCACATCCTGCAGATTAGGCCGCCGTTTCTCCGGGACAAGAGTTGAGCTATAGACCCAATGTGTCAGCACGTTCTTTCGGTACCACCTTGCGCTTGCGCTGTTATGCTGCACTGCGCTTTGGAGGCCTGAAAAAGCAGTCCTAGGTCCTCCAGTAGAGAGGTTAGAATAAGGGCACCCTTCTTTCTGTAGTCTATTTTAGTAGGGTAGCCCTCCCCCAAAAACGGGTTAAAGAGCACTACTGGGGGACCTAGAGTCTACACCCTTGCAGAAAATCTGGCATATTACAAGCCGCCAGGAGCCGGATAATTTCCAGCGAAGCTTCCGAGCCCCCGCGAGTGAAATCAACGGAGCGTCCGGGGCCGGCCTCGCCGGTTTCGTGCCTCTGTGTGTCCTCCCGGGCATGGATGATGGCAGCCTCAGATGCCAAGGCCGGCCTTTTGAAGTGTTCCATGATCTTTATCTAGGTGAATTATAATATTTCATCAACCTGAAATCAGGTGGTTGGGGAATATTTTCGGTGAGGTCGTGCGAGGTCGTTATGATTCACCAAGATCTTTATTACTTGACTGTTCAACACTGCGAGGCTCTTGACCTTCGAAAGATGACTTCTCCGGCCGGAAATGACCCACCCGAAGAAATGTTTGGCAATCCTGATGTGCAAACAACATCAAACAACAAAGCGCATGAACATCTGCAAAAGCAATTCCGCTATCACGGGTGATCCAACGATACCCATGCCTTCCACAATTGCGGGAATTTGCTTTCTATAGGTGGAGCGGCGCCGTGTCGCCCAAAAAGCTCTCAGGACATCCTGAAACATGGTCCTACGAGAAAACAGTTGCAGCTGCGCGTCTATTTGGTGCCGGCCATCCACTGCCCACCGTGGGGTGACATGACTCCTGCACAGTCCTCTTTTCACAACCCGATCACACTCGTCCCTCCGGCACTCCCCCTATATGCTTCTGGCAGCAGCTGTTGCTGCGCGCCGGCTGCTCGCAACTCGCCACACAAAGATCCTCCATCACTGCCGTCCACCGTCCTGGGTTTCACCTCCACGCTCTACGACATGACGGTGTTTACAGTGGTACACATCTACTCCAACGTGGTTCTCATCCTGGCCGTTTTGGTCATAGCCGTCCATCCGCTAAGAATGTTGTTTCACCTCCACCAGGAAGTCGCGCTGCCAGTGGGCAAGCTCAACGGCGAGAAGCATCGCAGGCCCCGGGAGGCCGTCGCTCTCGACCGCGGCGTCCGGAGCGCCCGCGTGCGGACCCGGCACCTGCCGCACACAGTGCTCCGCGCCCAGGTGAGATGCCCCATCCACGCCATCCACTTTTAGTGGACTAATGTCAAAAACAAAACAAAGCATTAGTTGGCAAGAAGTGATGCAGTCTTAACATCCCTTGGCACAATGCACCAAAGGATCCTCGCGCACGGCAGCACGGCCACCCCCACGCCCACCGCCGCAGCTTCGAGCTCATGGCGGCCTTTCCGCGGCTCAAGGGACTAGGCTGGTGCGAAGGGTCAAACCACCGACCACCCCACCTGATATAGCATCAACAACGACTCCTGAAAATCAACCTCCAAGAACATAATCTTAACTTCGGATTGATCCGCAGGAAAGTACCAATCACTGTTCCCTTAGGAAATCATCTATTTGAGTGGGACCGTCGACTAGAAGGGTCCCCCACTTCAAGGAGCCGTTTCCCTTGAAACCAACGGGATCACCTTGCGGGCCTTGAGCGACCACGCCAAATGTTGCAGAAGCTAAGTTCCTGGCATGGTCGAATATACGTAGGACATGTTCACCGAATGTACGTACACCCCTTGAAACATAATTAGGAAATGACACTTGATGTTCTAACACCACAAGGGGTCGAAATGATTTCCATGCTTTGCAAATGAGACCTCCCAACCAAACGGCAAAACCAATGCCAAAGAGCTCTAGTTTAAGCCTTGAAGCAACAATTTGAGAGACTATGGCGTAGCATTTGTATCAGCCTCAGGTAAGCCTGGCACCACAAAGCAACTAGATAATTCATCTATGGCATGCTTTGGCCCCCCGCCGCCAGGCACGCCGGGACTGTGTTCGGAACGTCGTGGCAGAAGGTCAGATCTGTCTCCTTCTGACCTCCGGTTTGCAACATCAGGGCTCCCGGCAAAATAGAGAAACCAAGGGCCCCAGAACACGGCAAAGATTCCTACCATCTCAGAGGGGGCGGATGGGTTTGACCCTACAAACGCATGCACAGTGCAAGCGGAGCATCGCCGACACAGAGAACAAAGTACGTAACAAAGTCACTCCGCAGCCATGCCCTCCCCACCTCTGACCCCCGAGAGTGCCCTGCAAAAAAAACAACAACAACAAATAACCGTTTCTATGAAAAATCACCCAACAATATGTAGCAAAGAAACAAAACAATTGCCTGGAACTACCAAAGCGCGTCATAAGTCGAGATTGTTGCAAACGCGCGCGCATTTGTGGATCTTGCCGCTTTTGTCTTTGTCACATGGGTATGAATCAGAATTATGGACCCTTTGTTGGACATCATTTACACGCATATTTTTGTCCCTCAATCGGCTTGGAGCCACAAAACATCACAGCCACATTTGACTCTTCTCTGCAGAGGGGTACTGTGAAAAGGCGCTCCATCGTATGCAAATTACAATGTACCCAAAATGGCCCCTAGATACATGGAAACAACCACAACCTGCATAACCCTACCTCTTAAATGTGAGCCACATCCATATATGGAAGGCCAGCCAGGAATCTTGATCCTAGATAGCAACGCCGAGCTCGAATTCCCGATGTCTCCCCAACAGATCGTGAGTCATAATCAAAACCCAGCATTAAAATGGTCTACCCAGAACCATGTAAAGAAATAAGAAGGCGGCGGCAACTATTTTGGCTTACTGACCTGCATCTACCGGGTTTTGAGCACGGGGCTCATCTTGCCGTTCGCCACAGCCAAAGGCACGCTGGGGCACCGACTGTAGCTCAGCGCTGCACCATTCACATAGCGATAGTCTTTTGCCACCTCCTGAACTACCAAACCACAAAAAACAAACTTATAGGCTTGGTCTCAACTGTTGGAACCCACGAAAAATGGCTTGTTCTGCTATTGGCTTTCCTCAAACATACACACACACACACACGTGCAGTTTCAAGTTGGTTTCCAATGAAACCACTAACAAAAAGCATGCTTCCCCTGCAACAAAGCAACACAAAGAACACACGCAAACACAGACAAACACGAACACACACAAAAAAAACATGCCCACTTGGTTGCTTTGGTTTGGAATGACTTGATCCTGTCTGTGTGGATGGGTGGGGAAATCTTGGCCTTTACTTCGTGGGTTCGTTGGTGTCCCCTTCCCTGCCAAGCAGCAACACATTTCCTCAGGAGGCTGAGCGCAATTGCTGCCTACTCCAATGCTCCAATGCCCAACACCCATGGGAACAAAAGTTTCTTTTTTCCCTCCCGGTTGGTTGACTTTAAAGGGGAGCCCTTCCCACAAGTTGAAAACAGGGCACTGGGCAACTGGGCTAAGGTCCTTTGATGTCCTTTGACTCAGACCCTGGACACTGACCTTCAAACAGTGGCCCGAGTGATTTGAAACTGCTCCATGTTCAAAACAGGTTCAGCGATTTCAGTCAAACCGGCCAGCGCAAGCGGTTATTTGGATGTGTTAACCCCTGGTTTCCTGAACCCCATGTGCCGTCATTTGATTGAACATGAAGCTTTGTTTTGGGAAGGATTCTTTTCTGCCAGGATGAATTCTGAGAGGAAACAAATGCCCCGCCAACATTCATCTGGGTGAGTTGCACTCATTCACCAAGCTGAAATAAGCAACGGACCCCGCAGACAGGAAGCAAATCATAGGTTGCCCACCCAAGCTGTGACTTTTTGATTTATACATTTTTCGTGAAATTATTGCAAGTCACGAAACAGGAAACAAAACAGACCTAATGCAATTTTTGCAAAAAAAAGAAAAAATCTTTGAGAGTGGTCCTCAATGTTTAATCCAAACATTTGTCATTTTGAGACAATCAAACACAGATCGAGAACAGGAAAGTTATCTGACATTTGTCAATTAATATTTGATCAATTTAACAATGGTAATTGTCGTGCATTTCGTAAAAAACCAAAAATATTCATTTTGGATGGAAATGATAATACCAATAATGATGATGAAAAGAAATCAGATCAAAGTGATATTGACATGAAACGTGTTGAAACTGACAACAATATTGGGGATGTGCTGAAAGCGACCAACGTCGGAAGAAGCCACGAAACCAACGGGTGGCTTTCAAAAGCCCTCGAGTGGAACCCTTCGCACGTCGCACTCACTTCGGTCCTCGCTGACGTGGGGCACGGCGAAGTCGATGATCAAAGACCCCGGGGGGATCAGCGCCTGTCGAACGAACACGGTGACATGCCAAAGACTCAACACAAATGCCATAGGGGTTGATCAAAAGCTCCTAACTTTACATGGGATGACCATTGGTTGGAGAACAAAAACAAAAAACAACACCTATGCCTATATGTGTAGCAAAGTGTGTCCCCCCAAAAAGTTGCCGTGGGCCTTGAAGAGAAGAGCTTCTCATCCACCCCCGCCTGGAAAAAACCCTTCGGTTCTGAACCCGCCCGCCAAAAACGAGCCAAAGCCAAGGCCCGCGAGAAGCCCAGGCGCGCCTGGATCCGCTTGGGCTCCATCCACTTGCCCAAGATCCAGGCGCGGCAGCCCACGCCCTCCTCATAGGTCTGGACCTCAGCCAAGGGCTCCAAGGGCTGATTTCTTTGGGGTCTTCACGCCCGATTCGCGGCTTATGGTAGCATGAATCCCCTTCGCACACAGCCAAGTAAGAGAAACCAAACTAAAATGAGGATTAAGGTGCTGTTGAAAGGGAAACGCTAGGGTGGCTAGGGCGTACCAACAACACGTACACAAAAGCAACAGGGGAAACCGGGGTTTGCCAAATACAGAGTCAAAACCAACCACGAGACACTTGAAAGGGTAAGCTTGACTCAATGGCACTGAACGACAGGCCAAACGTCGGTTGGACAAGAGGAAGAATGTGGCAAGGGTTTACCAGCCACCAGTTCCAAACCCAGCGCCAAAAGAAATTCAGAGCGGGAACCCTAAAAGAGTTCAGAGCCCGCAAAAAGAAACAAACCATGGTTGTTGTTTTTTTCTTATCCATGCAAGCCCGGAGCTTCATGCTAGGTTTCTGACTCAGTTGGGCTCCATCTTACAAATGAATGACACCCAAAAGCCAAACCTTCTGGAGGACCCTCGTCTTTTTGAAACCCGGAGAACTCGCCATCGGTTCCGTACATCACTTTCGCCCGTGCCACGTGCCAAGCGCTTGGCACGCACCAGGTTCTTGCCAAACGCGCCCGCCTTCGCAGAGGCGCGAGACGAGGCGTTGGAAAAGGAGGAACTGAAGAGTTGAGGCCCAAAATGGCCGACACAGAGAACTTTGTCAGTGCAAACGCGCGCACATTTGTGGATCTTGCCTCTTTTGTCTTTGTCACATGGGTATAAATCAAAATTATAAACCCTTTGTTGAACATCATTTACACGCATATTTTTGTCCCTCAATCGGCTTGGAGCCACAAAACATCACAGCCACATTTGACTCTTCTCTGCAGAGGGGTACTTCGAAAAGGCGCTCCATTGTATGCAAATTACAAGTACCCAAAATGGCCCCTAGATAAATGGAAACAAAAACCACAACCTGCATAACCCTACCTCTTAAATGTGAGCCACATCCATGGAAGGTTTCAGCCAGGAATCTTGATCCTAGATAGCAACGCCGAGCTCGAATTCCCGATGTCTCCCCAACAGATCTTGAGTCATAATCAAAACCCGTAATAGAATGGTCGACCCAGAACCATGCCTCAAGAATTAAGGCGGAGATCCGCAGCTTTTTTTATGGCAAGGGTAGTAATCTTCGCTTACCCGGGTTTTGAGTCTGACTCACTTTACGCCGTTGCGTTTTTTGGAGATTCCACCAAGCCTGATGACAATCTTTGGGCTCAATCATGCGGGGAAGCCAAACAAAAAGGAATTGAGAGAATGCGAAGGAATAACTGGGTGTGTGTGTGGGGATTGATCAAAAGGTCCTTTACATGGGATTGCCATTGTGGAAAACAGCTTAAAAATGATATGTCCCACTAAATGGAAAAGTTGCCCATTGTCATTTGGGGGCCCTAAATGGAATCTTTCATCAACCTCCATGTGCGAAAAGTGGCCACTTGCAATGAAGAACGCGCCATATTCACCGGCATTTCTGACAATCCTGGGGCCAACATCAGATCCTGGCCACAAAATCACTCAACACCCAGCTGATGAAAACAACACGTCGCATTTGGGGGCCCGAAACTAAGAGTAGACTAAATGATCTTGGTTCTGGGGAAGCACGGGTTTATGACAACCTGCCGCGCCTTCCTCCCAAACAATATCCCCTTGGGGTAAATCCAGACTCACATGCTGAGAGGACGCTCCGATTTACGTCCCTCACTTTCCCAAAGGACCCATCAATAAAAGGTTCACCTTTTGGGACCCCTAAAAACAGACCAAGGGAAAACCAAAAGGTCAAAAGGTCGATTCGCTTTGAACAACTGAGATCCAGTTAAAAAGGCGCCGCTCCCGAACTCTCCGTTGAGTTTAGATGAACATCTGAGGGTGACATTCGCTGCTCCACCTGAAGGGCAACCGATGCGGAGATCACGGGTTTTGTTTTTCTCGATGGGGCGGGAACCTGTGGCTGGTGTTGTCTAGGCGTACGCCAGGTCTGCTCCAAAGACCTCACAATCCGTTGGCCCCCAGAAAGCGAGCGTGAAAGGTGCTTTCTGGTTGGGGCACTGAGGCGCGCTGGTGAGAATGATATCTCCATTCTGGTGAAACTTGGAGACAAAGCCAACTTTGGGCTCTGTGAAAATGATCCCAAAGGCTCCAACTGAAGGAAGCGCGGCCAACCTCTGGTGCCATGTTTAGACAACACATGTTCGGCGCTCGAGAAAACCGTCTCCGGCCTCGCCCTTGATCTTCTGAAACCGCTCCTCGCAGCCCGTGATCATCCGCACCTCGCGGGTGAACTCATCTTGCGAGCGGTGCGACCAGGGCTCCACTTTTTAGACTGAAACCAGGGTAGACTTAAACTCAGTTGTTCAGTGACCCTGGAAAAAAGGGAACCCTTTTTGGGGAAGACCATTTTTAGTGGGGCAGCCACTAAAAAAGAAGGGAAAAAGGGTGCCACTGAACAACTGAGTAAACCCAGGGGTGGTTCATTGCCAAAGGAGAACCCCTGGGAGAAAAAATCCATCTTGGGGTCAACAAGTGGAACCCTGGGTGCGACAAATGCAGGGGATGAGTTGCATGGAAGGACCGAAATGAGAAATGGAAGGACCCCAAGAAAGACCATCCCTTGCTGGTGGTTTCCTTTAAGGGGACCAATTTCGGGGTTCATTCCGTTTCTCATTCCCTACTTCTCGCACCAGCAAGTAATCAAAGGGCACCTCCTCTTTCAGGTCCCTTTTAGTGCACTGTGAAGACCCAACCTGAGGCCCCGAATCCGCAACACATCCACCCTGCGAGTTGACTTCTGCCAGCGTTGCATCGTGCTAGTGGGCAAAGAACAACGTGGCTTCACATACCGGGGGGGGGGGGGTTAGGATTTGCCCACACAAAGTAACACCGGGATGCACAGGAAAAACACTGTGTGTAAAGTGAAAAACAATACTTCTGAAGGTTGACACATACAAAGTTGGCTCAAGCACTGTTGCTTCAAAGACAGTACCAACTATGTAATACTCACCGCAGATTCAGGAAATCCCAAAGCATCAACTTCCAACCCAACCTTCGTTTTTGTCTGCTCCACTTTCTGGAGAGTTATTTTCTTGTGGAGTACCACTACTCAACTCGCATCCTGAGTCTGGCTTTTGTCACAACCGTCCAAAGTAGAAAGCTTGCCACCTGGCTTTTGTCACTCAAACCGACTCAAACCGTCCAAAGTAGAAAGCTAGAAACTGAGACAAGAGATGGCTTGCCAAGAGACCTTGCAAGTGGCTTGCATCGCTGGACCTCTCGAAGGGACTCTCCAATCTGTTGGGCCAGACTTAGGCCTGCAAAATGTGGCAGAAGGGTTCACACGGATCTCTTTCGTGTATCTCAAAACAGGTGGAATCCCGTTACACATGTTGCAGGTCAATTATTGTTCTTGCCCTTAGCTTCCCTTGAACAACACGCGCACGACCCTTCTTGGCCACGCAAAAAATGGGTCGACCCAAATAGAGGGTCAACCAGGTTCGGATTCTCCGGGGAAGACTGCCCTCTTGAAATCGGCGCCCTGGTCACTCCCATGACTCGGCCCATGTGAGGAAGGATGCAACTCAATGGGTCGACCCAAATCGAAAGTCCAACCTGAGGAGTGAGTTCTCCTGAAACCAAAGGGACCTCACTTGCTGAATGGATGGCCCAAAAACAAAAAATGTATATATACCACTAAAATGGTCTTCCCAAAAAGTTTAAAGTTCACAAACTCAGGAAGTGAGGGGAGGACGCCTCTGAGTCTCGTGTTGTCCCCGGGGCCCCAGGCAGTGTGGCCCCGCTTGGCCAGCAGAATGCACAAGGCGCGGCCGATTTTCGAGGTAGAGCCGGCGAAGACGATCTCGTCCTCGCACGGAGTCACTTTTTCGTGGAGCCCCAAAAAGGGGCTTCTAGGAGCCCAAAACGGGGGATGCATCTAGGAAACGGTTTGAGTTTGACAAAAAGTCTAGGAAACGGTTTGGAGTTGCTTTCTCTGTTCTTTTGCGGATCCACAGTTGCATGGAACGTGGAGCCCAAAATGCGGGGTCCATCTACTTCGCCATGGTGCTGAACCACACAAACGCAGTATTAAAAACACAACCGCATGTGTTTGTGATGGTTTTACTCAGTCTAGGAAACGGTTTGGAGTTGCGGCTTTTGTGGATCCACTGGAGGATGTTCAAGTACTAAAAGAGTTCTAAAACAGAAGCTACAGGGGGAAGAACCCAGTGAAATCCCACAAAATGAGCCAATACCAAGCGTTTCTAGTCCAATTAATCCCCAGGCGAGTCCTGTGAAAACGGATCGTTCTGTCGTCGTGAACTCGGCGGACTAGCGCTTGCACAAGTTTCAGCTGTGAGCATGTGCTATGTTGCGAAAAAGCGAATCAATGCCACCCCACCCCACCCCACCCCACCCCGGAATGCGATGGCTGGACTACCAGCACAAGTTGCCTAAGCTGTGTATGAAGTGGAAAGGAAGAAGACCGCAACTTCCAGTTTCTGTTGCAGGGGGATCCCTGGCACGAACAACGCTCTTGTTGACTGAGGAGGCTTTGCGGAGGCTTTCGATTTTGGGCACCAGGGTATCTATGAAATGAAGAATGCAATAGAATAGTGTTCAACCTCAACTGTTCCTGAATGCTGACTGACCATCGTGATGATTATGGATTTTTGGAACGCCTGAATGAGAAGGTTGCGTCCCCAGTCACCTATACCTGATGGGGTGTCTAGGGCCATGATTTGAAGGCACCTCTTTGCGCCATTTTCTGACACGCAAATAAGGAGCCCGGTCAAGTTTTGACCGTCAGCAAGGGAATGTCCTGCGGTCCAGGCTTGAGTGCAACCCATTGCCCGACAGCAGTTGCATCCAAGCCTTGGACATGCGATAACTTGCAAATCGAATTGGGGCACCGCGAGACGCGACTACCTGTCTGGGCTGTCCTCAGATCCCCTGCTAAAAGTTTAGCTTTTAGTGGGTTAAATGGAAACCCCCTAAAAGTCTAAAAAACTAAGGGGATGGCCGGGAACCACCAAGCTGTCACCATGTCATTGTCTCCACATATGACAAGCATACCATACATCAAATCCAGGTACCACTGCCAACTCCGTTTCGCACACAGAAACGGTTGCATTCAAACTCCGCACATTTGCTTGAAGCTTTGCCATGACCATTGCCTGCAACAAGGCCAATGCCTGCTCCCACTGCCCACCCTGTTTGCACGCAGTGATTATTGCACTGTAGGTAATTTCACTTGCCTGCATCTTTGCTACATGTATTGACCAAAACAAGTTCAATGCCTCCTGCCACTGACAACCTTTCTCGCAAGCGCTGATGGTTGCGTTGCAACTGACTACATCCTCTTGCACTCGATCTGCTTGCATTGCTGAAAATACCGCCAACGCCTGCTGCCACTGCCCGCCTTTCTCGCAAGCGCTGATCGCGGCATTGAAGCTGATAACATCAGCTTGCACCCTTGCGGCCGGAATTTCCAGGAATATGACCAGCGCTTGCTGCCACCGTCCAGCTTCTTCGCATGCACTAATCGTAGCATTGAAGGAAACCGTGCTTGCAGGGACATTTGCTGCAGCCATCATTTGCAGCAGTGCCAACCCCTGCTGCCACTGCCCTTGCTTCTGACAGGCAGTGATGGTGGCACTGAAGCTGACTGCGCTTGGTTGCACCTCTGCTTCTGGCATTTCGCTAAGCATGACTAAAGCCTGCTCCCACTGCCCGCCTCTCTCGCAAGCGCTGATGGTTGCGTTGAAACTGATTTCATCCGCCTGCACGGTGGCAGTGACCATTTCAGCGAAAAGGACCAGCGCTTGCTGCCATTGCCCGGCCTTCCCACACGCGCTGATCGTCGCATTGTAACTCACCTCATTTGCTTCTACTGCCCGCGGCATGGCTCGAAACAAGGCTAAGGCCTGCTGCCACCGAGATGCTTTTTCAGCGGCACTGATGGTTGCGTTGAAGGTGATCACGCTTGCTTGCCTACTTGCCGCACTTGTCCGAAACAGGGCCAACGCCCGTTGCCATTGACCAGCCTTTTCAAAGGCGCTGATGGTCGTGTTGGAGCTAATCGTGTCTACTTGCACCCTAGCAGTAGGAATGGCGGTGAACAAGGCAAGCGCCGGCTGCCACTGCCCTGCTTTCTCGCAAGCGCTGATGCTGGCATTCAAGATCACATCATTGACGTGGACCTCTTTCACCAGCATCTCCGAGGAAAAGGCCAATGCGTGCTGCCACTGCTCTCCTTGTCCACATGCACTGATGACTGAGCCAAAGCTGATCACATCCGCTTGAACCATGGCTGCGGCCATTGCTTGGAACAAGGCCAAGGCCTTAAACCACGGCCCATCTTTGTGACAGGCACTGATGGTGGCACTGAAGCTGACTGCGCTTGGTTGCACCTCTGCTTCTGGCATTTCGCTAAGCATGACTACAGCCTGCTCCCACTGCCCGCCTTTCTCGCAAGCGCTGATCGTTGCGTTGAAACTGATTTCATCCGCCTGCACTGTGGCACTTGCCATTTCGGCAAAAAGGGCGAGCGCTTGCTGCCATTGCCCGGCCTTCCCACACGCACTGATGGTCGCATTGTAACTCACCTCATTTGCTCGTACTACTGCCTGCGGCATGGCTCCAAGAAGAAACCATGCACCTTGCCACGAATGCCTCCTTGAGCAAATTGAGATTGCCACAGTAAAGTCCCTTGTGTCCAACTGAGCTCGACGTTCAATGAGCTGCTGGAATGCCTCAAGGTCAAGCTTCTCAAGAGGAATCCTGCGCCGAGCGCCAGCCGTGTCACTGCCCCTGTCCACAATCGCCCGGCAGGTTTTCGGCCGGAACTTCTTTCGCCCGTTTCGGGGTTTTCTCCAAGCGGACAATGACATGACCACCGCGGACATCGCAGGTTCGCGTCTCGAATTTTGAAAGGGACGCTTGAAAGCCGGCCTCTGTCGGCCAGGTGCAAGCTGTTGAAGGTCGAAGCGGACCGCAAAGAATTCCATGGGCTGCGGGGATGTAGGAACCCCGGAAAGCGCATGGTGAGCCGCTGGTCGGGTTCAGTCCCCAACCAAGCTGAGAGCTGAATGCCGCAAGGCCAATTCGGGGTGCAAAGGCCGAGCCACACTCCTCATTCTTTCGCATTATGAAGGCTCTTCCGAAGCTGAAGTCCAAACCAACAGGACCGCGGGGACAAGCTGCCCCCATTCACCCCCCGTATGCTCTTTTCGCCCTGTCTTACACAAGCGTCAAAAAAAAAATAGAAGGGTTTTATATTACACCCTGGGAATACACCCACTGGGTATTGACCCAATCTAGCCACACTTCCGGACAAAACCGTGCAATTCTGAACCGTTCTGGGTCATGTCATCCCGGGTGTAATACAAAAATCCCTCAGAACATTATATATACCTATATATATATATGTGCCTATATATATAATGTTACGTATATATATATATACACTAAAAAAAGCAAGGTTGTCCTGAGGTTTTTGTGGACTCTGGTCGAGCTCGCTTCACACAGCACCGACCCGAGCCCACAGAAAAACAGCCTTCAAGTCTTTGAGCCCCCAAAAGGAGAAGAAGCCTTGCCATGCTGGGAGCCACTCGCAAAAACCACGTGTGTGATCGTGTTGTTTTTTTCCGGGAAAAAAAACACGTGTGCTCTCGTGTTTTTGGCGGGAAAAAACGTGTTTTTGTTGTTTTTGTTTTTGTTTTAAATAAATAAATGCGGATTAAATGGACACCACCGGCTGATGTTACGTCGCTCTCAACTCACTTCCTGAGTGGATGGGCCAACGAAACAACTGAACTTGTTGTTTACCACTAAAATGGTCCAAGCCCAAAAAGCGACTACGGTCCAGCAGGAACGCAAGTGAGTCAATCTGCAAGTGGGGGAAAGGCTTCATGGACCCCACAACCCCAAGCTAACTGAAACAAAATTCATCACGGCCAACGCAAGGTGTTGCTTTCTTCAGTAGCCACCTCGGTTTATGGTGTAAAATCCTTACCAACACGTTTAAACCGCGACCTCGTTCCGTTTACCCTGAAACCAGTTTCCCTGATGACCATCCCGAGTTGCTCCAAGGCAAAGTGAGTTCTGCCACCCGTGCACAACTGACATCGGAGAGGGTGTGGTCTCCCAATTCCGCTTTTCAAAGGGAAAGTGAACCTTTTAAAGGCAATTTAAGGGGTCACCCTGTCACCCAGTTTCATTTTAAAGGGGGTAAGGATACGTCTGTCACGTGTCACTTGAAGGAACCTCTGCTCGGCCTCCCCGTTCCCCAGCTCGCGCCCGGCCTTGGGCTGGGTGTGCTCCCGCAGTGCCTGGAGCTGTTCCAAAGGGGGGAACATGCAGGACTCACATGGAAGCTGCCAGAAGGCTTCTGCAAATGGAACAAAGTCTACCAAAGGGGTCCTGAGAGCCATGTTGGTCTGGGGGAGGGTAGTTCAGGCGTCAACTTTGTACAAAAAGACAGTGTTCATGGACAAGAATCAAAATGAGGCCCAGCTCAAACCGCCCAAGGACATATTTCAAGTCCTGACATGGGCGAAACCTGAAGCAGGACTCTTTCTGCATGGCGTGAGGGCCCAAACAGCTTGAATGCAAGGGAGTGAAGGACTAGTGGCTTGCAGTACTTGGATGGCCTAGTGCTGCTCCGACGGACCAGCAGCCAAGCCAAATAGGCAAAGCAGTGATCCCACGAGAAGCATGTCCCTTGAGCATCCTGCCAGGAAACAATCCATCACAAACCGGTAGACGCAATCTTGGTTGCTGTTGACCCCTTTGCAAAAAGTTTAACTTCTTGTGGGTTTAGTGGAAAACCCAACTTGATTTCAACCAAAAGTTAAAGTCCAAAGATCCGGTAGCCAATAGCAGTCAAACAGTCTGCAGGTAATCCCAGGCCGCTTTTCAGGACACGTATGTTTCCTTGGAAGACCTTCACTACTGGGTCTTTGTTGCCGAAATACGTGTGACAGTCTTCGCAGATGCTGCAACAGGAATCCAACATCTTGCCCAGTCAACTTTATTTCTGACTCGCTGATTATTCCCAATAAACCAATGCGTTGAACAGTCCATTGCCGTCCCTAGCAGAACTGGTGGCACTCAAAACTGCGAAATCTCCTGCAGCTCACATACTCCCACAACCGAGAACAACCCATGCTGAGAACGTATGGTGTGCCGTTCATCAAGTGGAAATGAAGGCTATGAATTGACCACGTGGTGGTGCCGGTTGATCAATCATATAATGTTAACCTCGGATTAAGCAGGTGTCCCCTTTCGGCGGGGATTCATCACTTTTGGAGGGAACACCCCCATAATCATGGGACGGATTTATTACTCCTGGGTCAACATTGGTGCCGTCTCTTGAAACAAATAGTCACGTGTTCTGCTGCCTCTGGAGTGGGCGGTGAGTAGGCAACCAAAAAGGATCCTCATTTCAGCTCTTCACATGCTGACTTTCGCCACAACCGTTCTATTCGTAAAGGCGACCTGCAACTTGCTCTTTTGATCGCTTCAAAATCAAAATATGCACCCTGAACCTGAAACCTAAAAAATGGCTGTGGGTCAAAACCCTGTACCCCCATTGAACATCATCCCAATCCCCACTAAAATAGACTAAAATGGGTGGTGCACCTACCCCAAAATGGGATCCCATTGGTTTTGGCCCATGGCCAAATCATGGGGCCTGCACAGGAGGAGAAGGGGGTGGGAGCTCAAATTTCAGCCGACAGCATCCCTTAGGCAACGGACCGACGGACCCATGGCCGCGCCTGCCACACCGCAGCGGCCGTCAAGGTGTTGCCGTGCACCACCCGGATCTTGCGGTCGCCCAGCTGGGGCAGCAGATCCTTTCCTCGGGCCAACCAATCGGGGCGTCTTGGGCACCACTGGCCCCGTTTAAGGCAGGGTTCAAATCACTGCACATTTTCTAGGTCCTCCAGATTTGAGAGGTTATATAGAGGGTGCCCGATTTGTTTTCTTCTGTAGTCTATTCTAGTAGGGGATGAATGTAAGGTTCAAATCAGGGTGGTGGGATCACAAGGGGTTTTGCCCCACTTCTGTGATACAAGGGAATTTTCGCCTGTTATGTGTGGGGGTTCGTGTTTGGGAAGCCCTTATTGTTGTATCACATAAGTGGTCATTGCACATTATCTAGGTCCTCCAGATTTGAGTGGTTAGAATAAGGGTACCCGTTTTTCTGTAGTCTAATTAATTTAGTAGGGGAACCCTCCCCCAAAAAATGGTAAAAGTGCACAATTGCAATTGGGGGACTTAGTTATGATGCATTATGATCACGTCATGACTTCAGACTTCCCCACAACCCCATTAATATTTGGGCCTTTGAAGTGCCCTGAAAGCGAGGGTTTTGTGGGGCCGAGTGGGGAGGGGATACGTTTCTGATCGTTCGGGTAGAAACTGGCCTGGAACAAAAAGGCCACAAGCCAAAACCCAGGGCTCCCTCGGTTCGGACCAAGGGCGACTTCCCGGTTTTCCGTGTCAACCCATGCCCCTTGGCTCCCCAAGTAGGACATTTGTTTCAAACCCAATGCGGAATGTCGCACTGATGTCGCACTTCTGCTTCCCAAGTCTGAAGAGCTGTGCAAAGAAGTGTCGACTTTTTTTGTGTGTGTGTGTGTCCGTGTGTCTGTGTGTCTGTGTCTGTGCGTCTCTCTCTGTGTCTCTGTCTCTCTCTGCCTCTCTCTGTGTCTCTTTGTGTCTCTGTGTCTGTGTGTGTCTGTGTGTGTGTCTCTGTGTCTGTGTGTGTATGTGTGAAGAAGGCTTCATGTGCTTGGTTGCAGCTGCACCCAATTTGTCCACCGTCAGTTGTTGACATGAGGGGAGTGCAATACTCCGAACAGGGGAACCGGGCTCCTCTCTATATATATATATTGCATTCCAGGAAGCCCGACTGTGGATACACGAAATCCTGCACCACCTATTAATCCCTGGAATGATTCGATTCCCCCGCAAACACAAAATGGTTTCAACCATGGCCTCATTTCCTGGTGCGAAGAGATTTGGCTCCATCCACAGTATGGGAGAGAAGAAAAGAAAAAAAACAAAAACGGGGATTGAAGCGCGTAGGCTTCCTGAGCTACTGAGCCACTGAGCCCTGCGCCGCCTTGGTTGATGAACTCCGCCTGGCCCGAGGAGCTGCTCCCACCGGCAACCAAAACGTTGAGCTTGGACTGAGCAGTGCATTCGGTCTCAGACGGACATCCATTTTGCAGCACCAAAGAAACCCTATGATGGTTCTCCTGCAACCAACAAACAATGGCTTCAACCATGGTCCACAGAATGTGAGGGTGTGTGCTCAAAGAGAGGACAAACTGAACACATCCCTTTTGGCTTTGCTTGCGGGAACTGAACCACCGGCCTTTTGGGCCCCAACGGAACCACGGATTGCCCTCCCTGACTTTCACTGGCTGTGGGACGATAAACCAGTGCAATTTCTTGGTATAGCTGACTTCCAGAGGGACCTCCCAAAAATAGTCGGATGGAAATCGAACCCATCGAACCCGCCTCTCATAGTGACCAACCAACCAACCAAGCAACCAAACAAACAAACAAAATGAACTAAAAATCAAAACCAAACCAAACCAACCAACAAACAAACAAACAACCAAACAAAAGAAACCAACATGCCAAATCAAACCAAACCAAACCAAACCAAACCAACCAACCAACAGCCAACCAACCAAACAAACAAACGAAATAAACTGACACGCCAAACCAAACCAAACTAAACCAAACCAAACCAGACCAAACCAAACCGAAGCAACCAACAAACAAACAACCAACCAACCAACCAACCAAACAAACAAACAAACAAACAAACAAACAAACAAACAAACAAACACACAAACAAACAAACAAACAAACAAACAAACAAACAAACAAACAAACAAACAAACAAACAACAGAAACTAACAAACCAAGCCAAACCAGACAAACCCCGACCAAAAACCAAACCAAACCGAACCAACCAAAAAACAAACAAGCAAAAGAAACTAACAAACCAAACCAAACCAAACCGAACCGAACCGAACCGAACCAACAACCAACCAACCAACCAACCAACCAACAACCAAAAAGAAACTATCAAACCAAACCAAACCAAAGCGAACCGAACCGAACCAACAACCAACCAACCAACCAACCAACCAACCAACAAACAAACAAACAAAAGCAAAATAACAAACCAAAAAAAACCAAACCGAACCAACCAACAAACAACCAACTAATGAACAAACAAACAAAATAAACTACCAAACCAAACCAAACCAAACCAAACCAAACCAAACCAAACCAAACCAAACCAACCCAACCAACCAACCAACCAACAAAGAAAGAAAGAAAGAAAGAAAAAAAAAAAAAAACAAGAAAGAGAACAAAACAGGCCTTGTTGAGGTGCGCGAGTCCCAGATACTTCACCCCGGCGTCGTCCGCGTCCTTCACCGCCTGGAGCCATCCGCGGGACTGGTAACCCCAGGGCGTCTCGGTCTTAAAATGAGTCACAATCAAAACCCGGTATGAGAAGGCGGATATCCGCAGCTATTTATGGCAAGGGGATTGTCCCTTACTACCCTTCACCTACCCGGGTTTTGATTGTGGCTCAAATGGGAACACACACACACACCACAACCAAAAAAGGCTTACGCCGGCTCACGCGTACAGGGTGTTGCTTACGCGGGGCCTTGTTGCGACACAACTCTTGCTTGGGATGTAGCGGGGGGTTTTGAGAGCTGCTCAAATAGGAACACACACACACACACCGCACAAAAAGCACGGGTCACTTGTACTAGTCTCTACAGTTGAAGCAAAAAATCAGTACCCTCAAGTCTTGTTCTCACTCCAAATGATGAGACTGCATTGCTTGGAGGTTCAATGCCGTGTCCCCTGATCAACTCGTTTGCCGGATGGGTCGGCGTCTCAGGAGTGTGTCAAGTCTACGGCTGTGCTTTACGACACACGTGCCACAGTCAAATGCCTTATGTGGCCCAGCGGTTCAATTGACAGACATCCTTACCATGGTTCTCTAAAATCTCTACCTGAGAGCTTGATAGTCCCTACCCAGCGCAAGGGGTTGTGTGATCCTGGCCACAGCCTCAGCCCAAAAGGCCGGCATGAGCAAAGATATCCCCGTCTAAACCGTGGAGAAGGGGAATGGCCATGAAGCTCAACAAACACAGGTGAGAGGGAAGGTGGGACAAGCACTCACTTGCCGAGTGGATGGCCCAAAAAATGTCCAAACTTTATATTTACCACTAAAATGGTCTTCCAAAAAAGTTTAAAGTTCATGAACTCAGGAAGTAACATGTAACATGTAAGTTCAAGCACACCCAGCTGGTCCCAGTCTGCCAGTCTGAGTGGGGAAACTCTGAAGGCAGTACGTGTTCAAAACCTGTGGTTTACAGGTAGGGGCAAGCTTGCCAAGTTCACTATCCGAAGCCTTGCTTCACACATGGGCCGGTTCTGATGTGCCATTGGGTAAGTGCAAGGGCACAATCGACCAAGAAGGGGCTCAATTTGTATGGTTTTCGCAGTGTTCGAAGGCAGGACGCAGGAAAAACAAAAGCAAACACTGCGAGTGTCTCCTGCGTCCAGAATCGCGTGCTGGCCAATTTCTTGGGCCCCTTACGAAGACTAACAACGAGATTCTCCCGAGTCGACCATCTACTCGGCTTTTCATTGTCACATTTCCTGGGAGCAGTTAGAAGGCATCCACGGTGCAACCAAACATCTCCGTTCCGGGATCCTTGGCCATGGGGTTTCTGTTTCAGTACAATTGCGTGTTTGTCGACGCATGATTCATTTGCCCTCCCACCGGTTTCCCATGGAACCTGACAGGGGGCTCCTCAAAGATCATCTTTCTTTTGAAGGGACCCCTGTCAGGTTCCATGGGAAACCGGTGGGAGGCTATATCTTAGCACTTGCTGGATTCGGCAATGACAACAAGGGTGCCGGGAATGGAGCAACGCCAATTCTGGAAAACAATGGAGGCACGCAGACATGCGTATCCATCTGGGTGAAGTCTATAATATTTCACCAGCCTGAAATAAAGCTTGTTGGGGGGGGGCTATTCCCCACATAAACCACCAGGTCGTGAGAGGTCGTTATATTTCACCCGTATCCATGCAAAGTGTTTGTCCCGGGGGAAAACAGCTTTTTGTTCTGGCCTCGCTTGCCAGATATGTTATATGGAATTCCGGCACAATCGACGCAACAAAAAAACCAGCCTGCACGATCATGTCCGAGATCGGCTTCCTGCAGTGAAAAAACAATCAGGGCAGCAAATGCGTCTGATTCAGATGTTGGTTGTGATTGGCTAGCAACAGAACGACACTGAACTCTCAAACAGTAGGAAGTAAGAACTGTGGACTTCCAAGAAAAACTGGACTACTACGACATTCGTTGCCTAGACATCTAAGAATCCAGGAAGTCATAGATCTTATTCCCGGTTTTCTGTTTTCAATCGTTACAACCGAGACTCGGGAACCCCCATCCAAAGCCCTCCCCACTCTCCCGAAATCTCGGGGTAAACAGATAACAGTATCCCCCCTGGATTCCGCAGCCCTGCACGGTGATTGAACATGGTCTTGCCCCCTGTTCCTTCAGGAACCTCGCAAAGGCTGGCAACGATGGAAAGAGACTCCCGGCCCAGCCGGTTTCCTTCTGACAATATGGCAAACCAGGCAGGCGTCTTGCGAGGAGTTTGGCCGTCAGAGTTCCAGGTGTGCCGTTTTGCAGGGTATACTCTTTTTGGGGCCCGACTTTTTACGGAAATCCAGGTCCCCTATTTGGAAACTCATCCCTTGCTCCGCCCTCCCAGGAAACCCCGATCGGGAATCCAAAGCACCCATCATGACGGAACCTCCTCTGGGGGACTCCCATTCTTAACAACACGTTCCTCCCCCTTCCGCACGACATATCTGGCTGTGCCATGGCATGATCATCCACTTGGCTTGCAAGATCTGTTCAGCGTGATTGCTGATTCTTTGGCTCAGGAAGTGTTGGGCGCCCAAACCTGACCGCAATCAATCTGGGCAACTCAGAATCATGTACCAACCTGGAATTCGGGCGCCACCTACAGAGAGACCTAATCAATAGCCATTGTGGGCGTGGTCACAAACCCAAACACTTTGTGACATGGGGAGTACGCCTTCCCAAGATCAGGGACACTCAAACTTGCTCAAATGTAAAATATTGAGACCCTAGCCAAGGAAACAATGGCAAAACCAGCCGACCTTTTTGCACGCTTGTTTCTTCGTTTATGTTGGTCTCTTTGCACCCTGCAAATCAAATTGCAAATGCCAACAAAGGGTCCCAAAAGACCTTTTAACATAATTGATGTTTGGTGCTTCCACGTTTGTCTGGCGGATAGCACATTGCGCCGATCTGGCACCCCAAGTTCATGCAACAAACACGCACACCGGATTTCCCTCTCTCCCACTAACATAGCACCTCTACTAAGGTACCTGAAGCACCACGGAAAAGCGGCCTGTGGGACTGCATGAAGTAGAAGTGCCCTGTCACCGGCAAGCACCTCGGCCACCGAGTTCCCCCCGCCCATAAAACCCTAGGGCCAATGGCGCTGAGCGCCATAAAGCGCACCTTCCTCTTGGGCACATTCCCAAATTCCAATGCGCGGAACCCTGGAAAACAGATGCCTCATGTACTTGAAACATCTGCGTGCAAGTAATGAACACAGTCCGCCATTCATGGTGTGCTATGGCCACTCCCTGCAAAAACTGGCCTCCCTGAAACACACACACACACACACACACAGTGTCCGCTTCTGCACATCGTTGCCAAGGATCTACCTGCAATTTTGAGAGTATACTTCCAAAAGCTGAACTAAGAATTGGATCCCCAAGTAAAACATCTATCATCAGCTCGTTCTACCCCTAGGTGCTCCCTTTAAAACCTGGCAGATCCATGCAGGGCCGTAGGAACTCTTCCAATCCCGTGGCACTGTGCTACTCTCCCAGCGCTCCACCTGCGGCTAGTCCTACCATAGATTGGTTGGCAAAGGGAGCTAAATCATGGCATAGAAATCTCGTCCAAAGATACTGGGCTGCCCTCAAATTCCCCGAGAAAAAGTGACTAACTTCTCTTGGGCTAAATGGAAACTATCACTATACACTAAAAGGCTAAAAAGCTAAGGAACCGGATGGCTGGGAGCCACCAAGAAAAGACAAACAACAAAACAGAAGCCTGCTGCGCCCACGTTTGTGCCGATGGTTTGTTTGCCCACGGGGATGAAAAACGGGGATCGTGCCTGTGCTTGTTGATGCTTCGAGATTCTGATGAAAAGATGATTGTACGTTTTCGCAGCAAACCTCAAGTACGTTGAAGATGGTACAAGCAAAAGGGCAGGAAGGATCAATCCCCCCTATTACAATCGAAACGCCTTATTAGCCAATGCCCCTCAACTTGCTGTTTGCCAATTGGGAGGATTCGCCCAACACCTACTCACGTTGCTTCTCGGGGAACGGCATCGCCAGCTCCCCCCACCCGCACATACTTTGCTGATCCCTGTTTGGGAAAATGCACCCGCCCTGAATAGTGTAGAACCATGCAGAAGCCCTCTTCAAGCAACTTGAGGCGCCTTTTTCCTCAAAATATGGTTTCCACTACCCCCAAACCAAAACCCCAGAATTATTGATGGCATACACCACTATAAACAGATCCTCTACAAAGAGCCTACGATAGCCTACGCACGTTTTTTTTTTTTGGGGGGGGGCTTTGCATGGGATGCCCTCTTGGAGTTTAGGTTGAACACGACTCTCCGGCGCTTGGGCAAGGTGCCACGTCGCGCACTGCGTGCCCCGGTAGTGGTATCCTTGGGCGTCAACGGGGTGCCAATGGGAGGCCCTCGGAGGGTGATGTGGCTACTGGGTGGTCAAAATGAGTCACCAGGAATTGGACCGCAGGTTTTAGTTTCCAGGTCTCCATTTACCAGGGCAAGCCATGTTGCGAAAAATGGCTACCCTATTTTGACCACCACACCCATACAACCGAACAAGAAGCCTGCGTTTGCAAGCCGGAAGCGGCTTCTAGCCAAGAGATGCACCTCATTAGTGCTCTGCGCACCAAAAGGAACACCATCTCACGCAGAGAACTAAAGGCCTGGGATTTATGTAACTCACAGCATGTTTCCTAAGATCAACACCCAGATCAAACAAGACCTGGGGGTTGATCACAAGGTCCTTTGCATGGGATGACCATTGGGGAAAACATCTGCAGAATCGCCAAGGTTTTCCAACAGATTTTGGGTGTCGGTCACTTCCCGCAAGTTCTAAGACCCATAAAGCCCCACCATGACTTATGACATACTGAATTCCAGTGGCATGTGCTGAAATCTGAAAACTCTACCAGGTCTGAAGGCAAATCACACATCAAGACCATCTACGAGTACCGGGGGGGGGCCAACGGAGCTAGCCTACTGTTTTACCGCAAGATCCATTCCCAACAGCAAGAAAGCCATTGCTACAATCTTCGGCGTGCCTGACATAAACAAACATCTTTTCGACAGTCGAAGGTCGACCTTTGGTCGACTTTTCAGTGCGCCGTTTCTGAGAGTACCCAGCAACCTATGCCAAAGCACAACAATGACATAGCAAAATAAGAGAAGTGCATTCCTCCCTTGCGATGCTCACTTGCCCAGCATATGCAAGGTCAACCTGCTAGTTGACAAAGACAAAACGACCACTGGCAAGAAACAATGCAACAAGGCCCAGTTTCCTTTCGGTGTCCATTTCGAACACTAAAAAAAAAGGCTACCAACAACTTGCGCACGCAACACACCCAATGGCCCTTCGACATCTTCCCAATGGCCTAATCTTCCCCGTGCCTTTACCAGTTCCTGGTTCGCAAGGTGTGTTGCAACATTTTGCTGCTGCAGAACCAGTTCTGGTCCCGGCCCTGGTGCATTTCCTCTTGTTTTGCTTTTAAACAGATGCAACCGGGGCCCAAATTCTTTACACCGGTGAGCCATGCTTGCACCAGGGGCTGCATCGCCCAACCCTGTTCGCCTCTCACGGCCAGCTGGGGTGCCCTGCGCTGCACGTTGGCCGTGTTCAGGAAGTAGCGGCAGAAGAGGACCTCTCGACGTTTTCAACTTGCCTTTAGGGGCTCCGGTTGGACAAAGAAAGCACACCTTGGGATGTGTTGAAAGTTTTTGGAGCATCTCGGATGAATGAAGCCCTGGTTGATCAGTCGAATAAGGCAACCCACCTCACGGGGATGGATTGATCACGAGTCAACTCTGAAGCAACCCCTGCAGAAGCCAGAGCTTCCGCCAAAAAGAAGAAGCGGCACAGAAGAAACCGGGCGTGCCCCTCACAAGAAAGGAATGGTCTGAGAAAGTGAAGAATTCCAGGCCCTGGTCGGGCGCGTTCTCCCCAATTCCGGGCGGGTTCACACGATTCCGAAGCCCTTCCTAGGTGTTCAGTGACCCTGGCGGAAAAAAGGGAACCCGTTCTGGAGGACGATTTTCAGTGGGGAAGCCAAGCAAAAGGTCGGAAAACGAATTGGTGCCACTGAAGAACTTTCTCACTGCCAAAGGCACACAGGATAGCCTGCTGAATGGCAGGCGTTGCTATGACGTGGTCAGCATTGCCGCATGTTGTTCCTTGAAAGTGAACCCTGATGCCGTACCGGTTTGATCCAAACAAAACAACATGTTAACACACATAACCACACACACACAACATGATGTAAAATTACCAAAACGGCCCAAAATTCAGGACGCAACATTTGTTTTTGGTCGGCACAAAGCAACGCCAAGATTTCAAAGAGGTGCAGGAAGTCGGCAGCCCCCCAACAATGACAACTCCTGGATGAATGACTCAAGACTGGACACCCCGAACCAAAAAATCGAAGGGCTTCCTCCCTCGGGGGAACATACCGAATCTTAAACACGGTGCTTGCCCTGTTGAGCCAAGAAATCGTCTTCAAATGCGACCCAAAATATGGGCGTGGGTCAAACAAAAAACACCAGGAATTGGACCGCACGTTTTAGTCCTTGTTTCCATTTACCAGGGTTGCATTTTGGGGTTACCCTATGTTTGACAACCACCCCCATACTGTGGATCAAAGGGTTTGGCAGGAAAATCTACAGGAAATGGCCCCAACCCCCCCTAAATCAGCTGTTTTCCTGCAGAAACTCCTACCCGACCCTTTATATGTTGCTGGGGGAATCGACTCCTTCCAGGCTTCGGGGTGCTGCGAACCGGCCGAGGACCCGCGGGCCGAGGACCCGGGCCCAGACGAAGGTGATGGGCTGAAGCGGCAGCATCCACCAGCGCTGCTGGTGCTGGTGGGAGGCCAGGAAAGGCGACAGCCTCGGATTTTTTTGATTTTTCTTTCTTTGTTTTATCATGTGTGGGCAGATTTTTCCTTTTCTTTGTTTCATGTGTGGGTATTGGGTTCTTTGAAGGTTGATATTTTCTTTGTTTCATGTGTGGGCATTTGGGCTCTTTGAAGATGGTGGACGTATTTTGAGCTGTAGGGTTGATTTTTTTTGCTTTTTCTTTGTTTCCTCATGTGGGTGTGGCAATCAAAATTAAACAGCTGGGGCAAACCGCAGGTTTTGGCCCATGTTTCCACTTGCCAGGGTTCCATTTTGGAATTCCGGTTTTTTGAGCCACAGCCATGTGTGGGCATTGGGTTCTTTGAAGATGATTGACATATTTTGAGCTGGTGTAGGGTTGGGGATGTGGTCCTTTTCTATAGGATCGGCTTGGAGCAATCAGAGATTTGGAGCCTGGCTGAATGAGAAGTTGCTGACATTGCTCTTGCTTTGCCACACTGGATTGGCTTCGTTAATTGGCACCTGTGAAAGATAGTTGGGCTGTATAATTAGTGAAGTTTCACGGTACTGTCTCGTGGTAGAGCACGTTCTTCCCCCTTCAGGCTTGCCCATGAACCAGGCGGGAATAATCCCGTTCCATTCTATACTAATTGATCAGTGTATTCCTCACTGGCTGAGTTGATGGCCCAAAAAAAGTTTTAACTTTATATTTACCACTAAAAGGGTCTTCCCCAAAAGCTTAAAGTTCATGAACTCAGGAACTGAGATTCTATTGATCCCAATGAACGAAATCACATTTTTGCTCCTCCAGCCTGGGATGCTTAGCATAGGTGTCCTTTTTGGAAAATAGATGGGTTTCCCTGGTAGATGATTGAACCACCAGATAAACCAGGGCAATCCTTTTTTTACGCAAAACAACCAAAAAGGACACCTGTGATGCTTAGATTGTCCTGGTGGCGAGCTTTTTGCGGCGGATGGAGGTTTGTTTCCATTCCGCTTCTGGCTGGAAAGCCAGCCAGCCAGCACGCCTAGCCCAAACCACTCACAGTGCCTCCAGGCAGCCCCGAACCCCTTCACGCCAAACCCGCACCTACCCTAAGCAAATCGATCTGGCTGTCGTTTTTAGGGTGCCCATGTGTGCTTGGCTTTAAGGCGAAAACCCAAAGGACACCCGTTGAACGCCATTTGGCTGGGGGGTCCGACCTGAAAAACGAGCCACCCACCTGCTCACACGCCAGGCCCCGGGCCATGGGAGATGAAGCCTTGCCACGAGTAGTGAGATTCGAAATGGCGCTGTGGAGATGGAAACCCTGAACATTTAATGGGTGTGGCTCAAAACTTAAGAGCTGGGGCGTTCCGCAGATTTTGGTCTTACGAACGTGAGACAGTGCAAAGGAAGAGGTTGACTCATCAGGTTTGCCACAAAAGCAACGCCAGAACCTCAAAAAGCGATCAAGCGGCCAGAAAAAGTCTAAACGGTTTGTTTACCACTAAACTTGGTTGCAGTTGACCCCTCTGCAAAAAGATACACTTTTTGTGGGTTTCGTGGGAAACCCAACTTGATTTCAACCAAAAAGTCAAAGTCTAAAGATCCGTTGCCCAATCTTGGTTGACGTTGGAAGGGGAGCAACATTTAATTGTTAGCAGTTAAGTGGAATTGGATTTCAACCATTAAACCCTAAACCACAATCCACAATGAGCAAAATTTGGAAACAAGTGCTTCCCAACAACAACCATGGGACAGTCAATCAAGTAAAACGTGTAAGCCCAAAACGTCAAACCTGCGTCCAGGAACTTAGGACCTGCGTTTGGGTGACTGTCAGGAACACGAAGCCACTGCCACTTTCGCTAGGTCCAAATTGGAGAGGTTCGGGCACCAACACTTTTTTTGTCTATTTTGGTAGGGAAACCGAATCTCCCCCAAGAAAGGGTAGGGCCGGGTACCAACATTTTTTGGTCTATTTTGGTAGGGAAACCGAATCTCCCCAAACAAAGGGTACAAGGGCCAGTCTGTTCAGTCAAAAAGCAAACACCGTCGCACCAATTTACATAGAACCTGACGAAAAAGGATCCTGGTTTGGACCATGGTCCTTTGAAAGGGACCCGCAAGCTCAGGTTCCATTGCTATTTCGTGGGGAGGGTAAGCATTCAGTCAGTTTGCGGAAGGCAATCTCTGAGATGGACTTCACAAGGATCGTGGTCTTTGGCCCTTGGTTCTCACATGCGGCCCGGAACTCCAACCCTTCTGTAGCTGGAACTCCTTTGGGGGCACGGGAGTTTCTATCACTTCAGGGACTATGTTGGGCGACCTTGCATACACATTCTTGGTTGCTGTTGACCCCTCTGCAAAAAGTTTAACTGTTTGTGGGCTCAATGGAAAACCCTTTCTTTCCCAAAAAATTAAAGTCTAAAGATCCGCAATCAAGAATTGGCTCTATTATGCACCTCAACCGCAACGAGCCGGGTTTCCGGTGCCCTCCTTTCAACACCCCCGGCAAGGATGCCAACTCCAACACAAGATTCAGCTGACCTATGGAGTTTACTGGCCAGAAGTAGGCACGACTTTTTTCGGCCTTTCACATAATAAAGGACCTTTGTTTCCATTGCAACTATGTCCGCAAAATTACATGCTCAAACCAACACAACAGTTGAGCCAGTTCTTGGTTGCTGAAACTCCCCCCTGCAAGAAGTGCTTGACTTTTTGTGGGTCCAATTTGGAAAATCCGGCTTCAACCAAAAAGTTTAAGTCCAAAGATCGGTTCCCAAATGAGTGTGCGTCAAAAACGGGGTAACCCCAAAATGACTTGCCCTGGTAAATGGAAACAAGGACTGAAACCTGCAGTCCAATTCCTGGAGATTTACTTTTTGACCCATACAAAAATAGGTACCCACAATGGAACCCTGGTAAATGGCAAGGACTAAGACCTTCGGGTGACTTAGCTTTTATCATCCAAATCGCTTGCCCTGGTGAATGGAAACAAGGACTAACACCTACCCAAAAGGGAATGTGGGAATGTACCTAGGCCCCTCAAAGAAAACCACCAGTGGGGATGGGTTTCTAGAGGGCATTCCATGTCTCATTCCCCGCAAAACCAGGACAAAGGTGAACCAACGCTTTTGAGCCGACTGGGTCACAGGGCTCATTCTCTTATTCCCTGCAGAAAAATATGAACTTTATCTAAAGAAAAAACAACAAAAAACGCAGGAACACAACATTTATAGAAAACACTACATACATATATACATATGTAATATATCTTTTAATGAACAAAACCGCAAGTTTGGACAGTCGAGCAAAACCTCCGGCTCCCGAGCGATCCGTTTCGCTGGGGTCCGGGGCATGGAGTACAGGCCATGGCCATGGCCCAAGAAGACGACGTCCAGCTGCCGAGGCTTCTGAGACAAGACCTGCACAAAAATCCCAGCCAGCCGAAAACCCTTTCGCAGTCCTTCCCCCTTCATGTTTCCTTAATCAGGGATCCTTACTTTATACACCTGAACATTGCCTTGTAAACGGTGGTTTCCCTAAATTTTGGTGGAAAAAGCCATGTTTCAACTGGGCAAAATGTATCTGTTAAGGAGCCCTGTTAATTTCCCTGAATTTCCCTGAATTTCCCTTAATCTCCCTTAATGATCTGAATTTCCCTGAATTTCCCTTAATTTCCCTTGATTCTCCCTTCACAAAAATCCCAGCCGAAAAACGCGGAGGGCAAGTTTGATTTTTTTCGCTGTTTGCATTCCTTCCTCTTTACGTTCCCTTGATTTTCCTTGACTATCCCTTCATGTCCCCTGATTTTCTTTACTTTCCCTTCATTTCCCTTCATTTTCCTTGACTATCCCTTCATTTCCCTTAACACTCCCTTTACTTTCCCTTGATTTCCCTTGATTTCCCTTCAGTTTGGCCACCTGATCCAGCCATCCACGGGAAAGGGCCATGGGTACGGCCCCAACTAACCCTTCTGGCCACCTCTTGCGAAACTTCACCAGCTAGATGACTCGATTAGTCTGCCATCTCTCACGAACAGGACAGTTCCAGTTCGCCTCGGGGAACCTGAAAGACATAGCCTGAGAGAAAATCCACTTCGCACTCATCCGCACATATTGGAAGAAAGCGGAAGTTGGTCCAACGGCAAACAAAAACTGAATCACGCAGGGTGGCTTCATTTGGTTTCCGCGACCAACCAAAAGCAATTTACCCATGTGGGTCAACTTGGCCATTTGGAGGTTCCCCCGAGGTTGGGCGGGTGACCGCTGGTGCCCAAATTGGACGAACCCCTCGAAAGGTGCAGGGCACCCTTTTTGGTCCCAAATTGGAAAGGGTTGCCAAAAGGAGAGGTGGCCATGTTTGCTGGAGAGGCTTGGGTGTGTTTGGGGAGGGTGAATTTTCAGGACCCCGCGAAGGCCCAAGTCCGCAACAGTCATGGCCTTCATGCCAAATCCGCCGACCCCTTCTCCTAAAGGGGGAGGCGCACGGGAAGGGTGGTTCCAAGTCCAAGGTTGGTAGTATCAGCACAGTCCCTAGTGACGCAATGGATGCGAAAGATTGCGGGCCTCTGCGGGTTTTGCAGTTGGAAGCCTGAGAAATGGTTTTGTTGGACCAACGGCCAGGTTTCTCTTTGACTTTGCGCAGACATTGCCTAAATGTGCCCATTCTGCAGCCGCTACGTCACCCCAAGAGACCACGACTCCACGCGTCAGCCTCTTTGAGTTGGTCTTTCGTCGATTGGGATGTTTCAAGATGAAACCAAAAAGAGGCGTGATGCCGATTTTAAGCCCACGGGCCGATTCTGATGTGCCATTGGGTCAGTGCAACGGATACTCGACCATGAAGGGGCTCAATTTGTATGGTTCGCAGTGTTCGAAGGCAGGACGCAAGAGAAGCAAAGGCAAACACTGAGAGTGTTTCCTGAGTGCAGAATCGCGTGAATTGGCCAATTTCTTGGGCCCAATACGACCAAAAAAGTCTTTTGCCTTCATTTGCGTGA